AAAATATGTAAAAAAAATGTAGATCTACTTTTGGAGCACTACGCATGTGAACGTAAATCTGTTTGGACAGTTTAAGGGTTAATTAAAGCTTGCAGTTTTTATGCATTAACTTGACATTTTTAATGTAGAGCTTCTTACCTTTAATCAGTAACAATTTAATATATTTTTGAAATTTGTAGCATATTCTTAACCCCTTCAGGGTCCAAGGCCCAAATCTGAAGTGGTGCCCCAGTGTCCAAGAATTTTCAAAAAAAAATTTGTTATTTTTTCTTATGAAATGGTAGAGAATCTTTTTGTGAAGGTAATAAAACAAAAAGTACGAAATTTGATGGAAAATTGACGAAATTACGCTCTCGCGAATTTTGATGTGTCAGCGATATTTACGAATTGGCGATTTTGCCGACTTTGACTCCCATTTTAGGCCAATTACATTATTCCAGGCAACCAAATTCTTAGCTATTTCACTAGTATTACTTCTTTTCTATCGATTGAGCACAAGAAATCGCCAAGTCAACTGTTTCAACTACAAATTAAAGTGATCGGAAATTGTTAATTTGGCCAATTTAACACAAAGTTCAAAATATTCCAATTTCAAAATAGGGTCCAGAATAAACAATGTAGGTATTCCAGGAACTAAACTAACATTTCCTCTGTTCATTAGTTATGTTTTGAGGCTTTACAAATAAATTCCATTTTGATTTTTTTATTCACATAATGAATTTTTATTCACACCAAAAATAGAAGATTTACTGTTATGCAATACTGTAATAAATATCATCACCATATTTGTGAATGCATATTAGACCCACCAGCTGGCGTGCATTAGACGTGTGAGGTCGTTTGTTTACTCTTGAATATCGGCAAAAAATTAACATTTCTGCTACTTTGAGCTCAGTTTCAAGCCATTTCCGGTGCTAAAACCAATCAAAATCATCTCTATTTCTGTAATATGTCTTCCATTCTATCAAATGAGACCAAGAAATCGCAAATAGAACTATAAAAAACATACGAAAAAACACTGCAAAGTCGCTGTTTTAACCGAAAAATCATGATTTCAGTTTTTTTTCTCTCATTATACACAGAGTGCTGCAGGATCTGTTTTATGTGGTGCACACATACCACAGATGTATTCTCTCATTTCTATGCCCAAATGTACCACTCACAGTTTATCAGAGTGAGCCGAGCTCATGACGTAGATCTACGGTTTGGACCCTGAACATAAAGCCGTAGATCTACGGGACGGACCCTCAAGGGGTTAATGAAGTAAACTTTGTTTTAGATAGGTAGAGCTAAAGGAATGGTCACATTTCAGACATTTCTCTAATGTTTTCTTTGACAAATACCAGTGTGCATACTGTGTATTTATTTAACCTTTTCACTGCCACATCCATAGATCTACATTATTTATGCTAGGGTTGCTCACGTAGATCTGCGTTTTGAGCACAGCTCCCTCAGATAAGTTATGAGTGGTAAATTTTGGCCTAGACATGAGAGAATGGGTCTGTGCAGTGAGTGTGCACAGGGAAAAGCAAAACTCTGACCTTGTGTTTGGTTTAGAACATAAGAAAGAAGGAACACTGCAACAGGCCTACTGACCCATGCGGAGCAGGTCCATATCCCCCCCGGATTAGACCAATGACCCACCCAGTCTGATCATCTCCACTCAAGGATGGAGCACTGCACCAGATCCAGCAGCACAAGCTAGTCAGGTCCAACTCACACCCACCCACACCCACTCGTGTATTTATCTAACCTATTTTTAAAACTACACAAAGTTTTAGCCTGAATAACTGTACTCGGGAGTTTGTTCCACTCATCCACAACTCTATTACCAAACCAGTGCTTTCCTATATCCTTTCTGAATCTGAATTTTTCCAACTTGAAACCATTGCTGCGAGTCCTGTCTTGGCTGGAAATTTTCAGCACGCTATTTACATCCCCTTTATTTATTCCTGTTTTCCATTCATACACCTCGATCATATCCCCCCTAATTCTATGCCTTTTGAGAGAGTGCAGATTCAGGGCCCTCAGTCTATCCTCATAGGAAAGATTTCTGATACATGGGATCATCTTTGTCATCCTCCTCTGTACGTTTTCCAGAGCATTTATATCCATTCTGTAATACGGTGACCAGAACTGAGCAGCATAGTCTAAATGAGGCCTAACCAAGGATATATAGAGTTGAAGAACCCTTAAACTGTCCAAATGTAGATCTACGTTCACTCGCATAGCGCTCCGAACATAAATCTACTTTTTTTTTACATGCTTTCTAATGGAGAAAATCAAGGTCGGAGTGCTACACGCGTAAACGTAGATCTACGTTTGGACAGATTAGGGGTTAAAATAGTGACTTTGAGGTAGTATTTTCTAGGATAGTTTCTATAGTTTTATTGGCTGTTTCTTGGTATCATTTAATAGAATGGATGATATTCTATTGAAATAGAGATGATTTTGGTTGATTTGAAGATTACAAGCTTGAAATTGGCTCATAGCAGAAATATTGAATTTTTGATGATTTTCTTTAGGACAGGAAAGGCTCACCCTATGTACCTGGTCTGTTTTATAGGTTTTTACCAGGTTTGATTCAATTATTAGGATGTCATAAACCATGACCAATTATACCTGGTCATATTTTATTATCCAATAAATAGGACCAGTCTTTTGATTTTTTGTGAGAAGGCAAGTGTAATACAGGAGAGGTTGAATTCTTGCCCTCAGTCAATAGAAGGGAAAGCATACTAGCAAAATTACCAAGAATTTGATCAGTTTGAGTAATGCAAGCAACAACTTAAAAACGGTCAAAATCATGGATGTGAAAATTGCACCCAGATCGCTATTTTTGCATCTGTATAATTCCATAAGTTTTCTGTCAAATTTCATAATTTTTTTTTCTTTGAAATGTTGACTTTTAATTTAGAAGCTTCTGACAGTGAAGGGGTTAAGGAAACCAGCCTTTCTTCAGAAGACCTTCCTTGTCCCTTTTTTTAACAGTGATGGAATGTGTGGCATTTTATATCTGTCTCCCATTTGACTTTCCTTTTTCATAGCAAGATCCCTAAGTTAGATATTTCAATGTTTACCATTTGTTTAACTCTTTGAGGGTCAAGAGGCCCTCTCCCAAACTCGTTCTCAGGGTCAAAAAATTTTTGGAAAAAAAAAAAAATCTTGTAAAATGATAGAGAATCTTTTTCCGGTCATAATGACACCAAAAGTATGAAATTTGATGAAAAACTTAAGGAATTATGCTCTTGCGAAGTTACCGGTCTCAAAGTTGGCGATTTTACCCACTTTGGGCCCTATTTTCGGCCAATTCCAATGTTGCAGTTGACTAAAATCATAGCTATTTCCATTTGTTCTATCAATTGAGTACAAGAATCCACCCATTTACTGATTTCAACTACCCAATAAAGTGGTCAGAAATTGGCAATTTGGAGAATTTCAAACAAATTTCAAAAGATGCCAGTTTCAAAATAGGGTTCAGAATAAACGAGACAGACATTCATGGCACTAAAATAACATTTTATCTGTTCATTAGTCATGTCTCTAGGCCCCTCTTACATTACTTTTGCTTTCCATTTTGAATTTTTATTTTCACAGAAAATAGAAAGTTTTCTGTTACGTATACTACTGCATCATTGTAAAAATAGTATAAATGATATCAGTGCTCTTATGAAAGAATATTTGACTCGCCATTTGACGTGTATTGGACGCGTGGTGTGATTTGTTTACTCTTGAATATTGGCAAAAATCTATCATTTTCGCTACTTTGAGCTCAATTTCAAGGTACTTGTCATTGTGAAACCAATCAAATCAAATCATCTCTAATTCTGTAATATATCTTCCATTCTATCAAACGAGACCAAGGAAACAAGAATACAACCATAAATACCATACAAAAATTCACTAGAAAGTCGCTGTTTTAAACCAAAAACATAGTTGAAGTTTTTTTTTTTCTCATTATGCATAGCTTGCTTCAGGATTTTTTTTTTATACTGCGCACATTGACCACACAGACCCATTCTTTCATATGTAGGCCTGCCAGCTTTCTTCCACCAGATTTGAAGACTCTAGAATTTAGGCATACAAGTACGTGACCGACCCTGGCTGCAATGACGTACTTGTATGTGACCGACCCTCAAAGGGTTAAGAATTAAAAGTGCGGCATCTGAAGTACTTTCTATAAACACTTTAGAATTTTGTATCGAGTATCTCACACATTTCATTCTCCAATTTGATGATTTTGTCACTGCTTTTAATGCTTTGCATCTTGTTTCCACATTTCTGTATTTTTACAAACTTCAATAAAAATTATGTTCTGGTTTGTTCTTGTCTACTAATTTTTTTCAAAGATTGTTTCTTCCTCCCTCTTTACCTCTGCATTGTTCATTCATTTCTGGCCTTTTTGGATTTCTGATAAAGAATAAAAGGCACAATACTGTGACTGGAACAATACACAAATAATCCCCACAAAGAAAGAAACTTATGATGATGTTTCGGTCTAAGTCAGACTGAAACTTTGTCATATGCAATTCAGATTCAAAAATATATTTCTTTGCATAGTATACAATGTGTAGTTTACACATAAAATATTGTTAAGCACAAAGAAAGCTACAAGCAAGCTTGAGTATTTTGGGCAGACTAAGCTTCTTTCTATGTGCAGGCTATTTGTGTATTTCTGATAAGTACCTGGGTTGGTACATTTTCTAGGTTGCCCATTTTTAGAGTAAATTGAAATAAGCTTATATATGTTGCAGAACTTTTGTGTATTGCTTACTCATATGTCACTTGCAATATTATAGTCCCATTTTTGTTTCTAAAACACTGCCTTAAATCATGCTTTCCTTTCTTGATCAACTAGATTTCTAGATTTTGCAGACTGGATGTTGTTCAAAATAAAATGAAGAAATATGAGTTCATTATTTTAATATGATAATTTAGTTATCATAATATGAAATTATTTTATCATTTTTTAATTTGGTTATGCTGTAATTTATCCCTAGTGTGTGTTATCTTGCCGGTAAGCTGGTGCGGGCTATACAGTCCCGCCAGCCTGAGCTCAATATTAACAGTGAAGATGTGTTGAGTGTTGAGGTGGCTGGCCTCTGTCATGATCTGGGGCATGGTCCATTCAGTCATCTCTGGGAGGAATTCGTTGAGATGTCTCCACGAAAGGAAAAATGGACGGTAATAATTCAATTCAATTCAAGTTTATTCTCTATAAGGGTTACAATGTGGGGTTTACAGGTTTTGGGTATTGTGTGGTTTACATGTTATAAAATACTAATTACAGAGGGGGCCACTAGGACACCTAGCATGGCTAGGCATTTTGGGCAGACTTAGATTAATTCTTAACATTAAATCCTTACAGATTATGGTATTAAGGGTAAGTGACTACATCATAATTTGTGAGTTTAGCAATGTGAATGCTTTTGTTTTAGCACAATACAAAGTGTCTATATTGGAGTATCATAGGCAAACTTATGACTAGTTAGGATTTATTATTTTAAGATTAAGATTAGTATTTCTGGGTTTATAGTCAGTGGGTGAATGAGTGTAATTGTGAACCTCCAGGTGGTTATCATGTAGTTAGTTGTTGGGGTGTATCAGGGAGATAAGATGTTATCTAACTGTAGTTTTGAAAGTGATGAATGTGTCTGCAGTTCTAGAGTTTTCAGGTAGGGCATTCCAGATTTTAGGTCCTTTGAAATACATTGAATTTTTGTAAAGGTTTAGTCGAACACAGGGAATGTCAGAGATGGTTGTGTCTGGTGTTATGCCTGTGGATCCTGTCACAACTATCAAGAAAGTGTTTTAGGTCAAGGTTAATATTGGAATTTAAGGTCCTGTAGATATAGACTGCACAGTAGTAAGTGTGGATGTTCTGAACAGGGAGTAAGTTTAGATCTATGAAGAGTGGGGGGGTGTGTTGCCAGGGATGGGATTTAGTGATTATTCTTACTGCAGCTTTTTGTTGGGTTATTATTGGCTTTAGGTGTGTTGCTGCAGTTGAACCCCAATAATGCATCTGTTTAGTTGGTGTACTCTTAACTCTTTAACCGTGTCCACCATACTAGTGTGCAGGTGATGCCCCATGGTCAGCCCACATGCTGAGCATCCATGGTTCGATCCTTGGTACAAGTGGAAACATTGGGTGTGTTTCCTTAAATTATTATGACTACAGTATGTGTCCAATGCACAGTTTTTCGTGCCTCTGACCATGCCACCTGCCAATATTTTTTTTTTTTACCTCGGCACAACTGCTTGGGTTTCCTATACCTCCATGCCACTGAAAAAAATCCAAGACCAGATGGGTCTGTGCAATTCATCATGGGCAACACTACCTAACTAGCATAAATAAACAGTTAAACTAGGACCTGATGTTCCACCACCAGCTTCCAAACAGGCAAACACTGTGGAACTGGTGGGAAGATGCCATATTCATTCCAGATTTATTACAATTTCTTGATACTAACAGTGGAATTCAGCTAAAGAGCACACTATGTAGATTTAACCTAGGATAACCCAATAAAGCCCAACACTGTGGCTTATTTCTATGTAAATATATATTTTACTGTGGTCTTTAAGACACAAGTGTTATAAACACACAAAAATTACATCATATAACGTAGGATATTCTTTTGAACCTAAAGAACAAAAATGCACAATACAGTGACTTGACCAACACACAAATAACCCGCACATACGAGAGAGAAGCTTATGACGACATTTTGGTCTGACTTGGACCATTTACAAGTCTGAGGGAACCAGTATATACAGCCTCTCCTCACTTAGCGATGTACTCGTTTGCCAATGACTCGGATTTACGACAGGCTCTGTGACCAGTATGCATACCTAACTAATGTATATTAGAGCCGATTTCCTCTATTCTGTTCATTACAATGTACAGTACACTACTGTATAAACATTTAAAAATATACTAAAAAAATGTTATAAATGGTGCAGAGGTGACATTAAAAGACTATCAAAGATGGTTGACACACCCACTACCATTATAGTATGCTCCTTGTTTAGTGACAGATTCATTTACCGATGTGGTCTTAGGAATGGAACTCAGTTATTAAGTGAGGAGAGGTTGTATATATACTGGCTCTCACCTTCGTGTGCTAGCATGGCTTATAAATGGTTCAAGTCAGACCAAAACATCATCATAAGCTTCTCTATGTGCAGATTATCTGTGCATTCAAACCTAAATATATAACTATAATTAACCTAGAATAAATCACTACTCTCAAGCAGTGTGACTTATTTCCATGTTTTGAGGAGTATTACACTTTGAAACAATTGTAATACCATAAATATTCCTTGTACATAGTGTTAGAAGACCGAAGCAGTAAAAAAAAAAAAAATATTGTACCATTTTACACTGTACTGTATATTTTTAGTATGGAGCAATATCAGACTATGCATTTCCTCATGTTTCAAGTACGTACTAAATTATCCTAAAATGGATGTAATGTTATGCAAAACTAGTGTACATAGTGTTTAATATTAAAAACAATAAAAAACTGAAAAACAATCATAATTTGGCATACACAAATAACCCGCACATAAAAGAGAGAAGCTTACGATGACGTTTCGGTCCGACTTGGACCATTGACAAAGTCACACTTTATGTGCGGGTTATTTGTGTATTGTTCCAGTCACGGTATTGTGCCTTTTTGTTATTTATAATTTGGCATCAGTAAATTGTAAAATGTCAATACCACTGGTGCAGTATTTACACGTTACAATTTACACTTTACATATGCACTGCCATTGCTGACAAGTGATCATATTTTTGCCAACTTCAACATCATAAAATATTTAGTTTTTATTAGCTTCCATTCATTTTATCTTACTTGATTCATAAAAGATAATTCTTTCAATCTAATTACATTTGCTTATGTTTATACGGTATAATACACGCTCCATACTGTACTGTCTTGAATTATATGCAAACTGTAACAACACAATTATACTATAGCTTGTAAAGCAATATTTAATAATTTTTTTTAGTTTGCAAGGCCATAGTGTAATATACTTTAAGAAATACTTTTAAACTTCACTAATTTAAGAAATTTATTCATAAAAAGTACATGGTTACTTGTGTAAAATTATATACTCTACTGTATTGTACATATAAATACATGTACACCTACCATCCGACTTACGACCTGCTCGACATACGTCCACTTGACTTACGACCATGCATCTGGCAACTGGGCTGGGCCAGCTGATGCACACCACTGTACAATATTTGACAATACTCGCGGCGGCAATGAGTCATGCAGGCACCATCCGTTTGAGTAACCCTGTCCTATCAGCAGCATCATACTGTATTAACTGTACTAACTGGACAGTAAATTTCACCATGGCCCCTAAGATGAAGTCTGAATCTTGCACTGAAGATTGTGGCAAGAAAGGCTATTACTCTCGAACTCTATTTGTTTTCACTGTTGCACATAAACCTGTCTGTATCTGTCTGCCTGTATATCTGTGTCTGTATCTGTCTACCAGTGTGCCTTTCTGTATACCTGTGTGTCTTTCTGTCTACCTGTGTGTCTATGTCTACCTGTGTGTCTATGTCTACCTGTGTGTCTTTCTGTCTACCTGTGTGTGTCTTTCTGTTTGTGTGTGTCTTTCTGTCTACCTGTGTGTCTTTCTGTCTACCTGTGTGTCTACCTGTGTCTGTCTACCTGTCTTTCTGTCTACCTGTGTGTCTGTCTTTATGTCTACCTGTGTGTCTTTGTCTACCTGTGTGTCTGTCTTTATGTCTACTTGTGTGTCTGTTTCTGTCTACCTGTGTGTCTGCTTGTCTGTCTCAGAGACACTCATTAAGAGTGTACTTGGTCTTGAAGATTTATTTTTATTTATTTATTTATTTATTTACAATTTGAGCACACATACAGAGGTACAAAAAAATACAGATAAAAGCAGCATGCCAAAGCCACTTATACTATGCATAGCATTACGGGCTGGCTTAAAATTAACTTAAGATTAACTAAGCAATGATGAAATCAGTGATAAAACATTAATGTAAACAGATTACTATAAAGCACAAGTGAGTATTACAAAGACAGGTCATATGGTTGCATGCATTGTTGTACATTCAGTAGAATGGAGTATTCTGTTAGGTAGTGTATTTAAAAAATAATAAAGTTAGATTGGGTTTTAGGTTTAACATTTATGTGATATAATTGTGAGAAACATTTAAGATATACAATTTATAAGGTTCAGTTATTCAGTATTTATTTGGTTTTGGGTGAGTAAGTGATCTTTGAGAAGAGACTTGAATTTATAAACAGGTAGTGTTTCTTTTATATTTACAGGTAATGAATTCCAGATTTTAGGGCCTTTTATGTGCATTGAGTTTTTGCATAGCGTGAGATGGACACGAGGAACATCAAAGAGTGATCTGTGCCTTGTGTTATGGTCATGTGTTCTGTTGAGGTTGGCAAGGAGATGTTTGAGGGGAGGGTTAATATCAGAGTTAAGTGTTCTATGTATGTAATAGGTGCAGTAATAAGTATGGATGTTTTATATGGTGAGTAGGTTGAGTGTATTGAATATTGGTGGAGTGTGCTGCCTGTAGTGAGAATTTGTTATCATTCTAACTGCAGCCTTTTGTTGGGTAATTAGTGGTCTGAGATGGTTACTTGTTGTTGAGCCCCATGCACAAATTCCATAGGTGAGATAGGGGAAAAATAAGAGAGTGATATAGGGCCAGGAGGGCTGACGTGGAGCATAGTACCGTATCTTCGATAGTATTGCCTACAGTCTTGGAAATTTTCTTAGAAATTTGTTGTATATGTGTATGAAATTTGAGTCTATTATCAAGGTGGATTCCTAAGAATTTTTCCCCCTGTTGCTTTGTGTTTGGTGATCCGTTTATCATTTGTTAAGAGGGACATCTGTAGCTCTGTTACCAAACTGAATGAAGTAGGTTTTTGTCAATGTTTAGTGTAAGTTTGTTAGTCCTCATCCAGGTAGATATTTTCTGTAATTCGGTATTTACAGTATTGGCTAGCGTGACTGGGCTCGGGTGGGGAGAAGACGTATGTAGTGTCATCTGCAAATAGTGTGGGGTTTGAGTAATTGCGAGCATTTGGTAGGTCATTTATGTATAGGAGAAAGAGAAGAGGGCCAAGGACACTTCCCTGTGGGACACCAACTGTAATTGGTTG